GTTACGGATTTTCTCAGCAGCCAGCAAACGCGGTCTTCTTTATGTGCAGCTCAAAGGACAAGCCAGTTAATTATTAATTTTCTTTCTTTCTTTCTTTCTTTTTTTTTAATAAGCAGAGCGAAGCACCTGGAGCTGGCTGGGTAATAAGCCCGGGACGGTGGGGAAGGGCAGGGTGAGATTTCCTTGGGAAGAAATGTTTGTGGTCCTGAAAGCCTCTCCAGGGAACCACACCGAGATGCCACCAGCCTTCAGCAAGCACCAACAGAAGTCAAATGCTGTCCCAGGCCACATGTGTCCCCCCAACCTCCCCCTGGCCCAGGGGCAAGATGTCCATGTGGGTGTCCCGGCCCCTTCAGGTGGGAGGAGATCAAGAGCAGGACCAGTGTTTACTGCCACCCCCCCATAAGAGTCTTCCAGCTTTCCAGAGTTTGCAGGTCGGTCACTTTTGTGAGCCAGAAGCGTCACCTCTACCTTTGATAGCCCCAGGTGGGCTTTTCTTCCATTTCTCCATTCACTTTCAGTTTTTCGAGCCGTGCAAACCTTTTAGCACCAGGAACATCCCAGGACAAGGAGTGCCAGAGCTCTGCGAGGGGCTGCCAGATGGATACGGCTCAGCTTGGCTTGGAGCATGTTGCGAGCCACTCATGCCCCCTTCTCGTACAGCAAACTCGCTGCCTCCTGGTCCCTCAGCGCCGGGGGATGGAGCACAACCGGCGGGACTTTTGCGACGTGCCAGCGGGCTGCTTTTCGCGGCGTTCAGCCGCGTGCTGCCTTGCAAAACCCACCCTGACGTCACCTGATTTTTTTAAGCTGAACCGGTGGCAGCTGGACACTCCGTCATCGGGGGCACCCACGTTATTGAAACAACGCGCCTTCCCCTCGCTGGTGGGCTCGGTGGGGCGGCCCAAAGCACCTGCTAAAGCCAATGCCGGGATGCTGCCCCGAACAGCGCCGGCTGAAACCCACGTCCGGTGGTGAAGCAATTCTGCGCTTACTTCGTTACTGCTGTGATTTATCCTGCGCTCGTGCCGCGGCACCACCTGGATTGCCCTGTCCTAGACAGCGGGATGCAGCGAAGCCCGGCTGCAGAATTTGCAAAGGTTTTGCCTCTTCTCTTTTGAGGGCTCCCTCCGCCCTGAAAAAGCAGGCCGGGAGAAGGAGCCGGCCGGGGCTCTGCTGCCAGCGCGGGAGTGCGGCCGCGTGCAGCCCA